CTCTCTCTCTCTCTCTCTCTCTCTCTCTCTCTCTCTCTCTCTCTCTCTCTTGAACGAAAAATAAACTTCCATCAAAAATTCTGTACGACTCTATCTCTCCACTTATTCAAGTACGCCAAAAATCACGTAAATAAATCGAGATATATTCGTCAATAAGTTTTAATTTGCAACTAAAATAAAAATGAACCAGTGACATCGCGTCGGTAATCTCATTTATACTCGCATTTATATTTTATACTCGCAGTGATGAAAAAATTGGACATTCAGTTAAACGCGATTAAACTAAAGCGGCATCTATACAGACATTCCACATGAACTACACGAATTAAAGTGACACGATTGACACCGTGTTTAAAAAAACGCATTGTGGATTAATCGCCAATAATAGCTTTCATTTAAACAATCAATTGACACTTTTAGCATTCCGACAGCCATTATCACAGTCTTTTCCTTGCCTTCTATACAGTCTGGTATGACAATAATACGAAATGGATTTGCGTACTATATACGTAACTTTACTTTTTTATAGAAAAAAATACTATACGGCAATGTTATTTTCTATGCTAGCAAAGAGAGAGAGAGAGAGAGAGAGAGAAAACGAGAAACAAAAAAGTTCAACAATATGTGAGAAAATATTCGGTCCGCGTTTGACTTGTTTGGCTTACAGCGCGCACGCTGTACTTGACGGAAAATAACGAGATAATGTACGATGACACGATGATGAGAGACGAACCTGACTGATACGAAAGACAAACACGTTCCACGAAAATCTGGGTTCGAGGTGTGCTGCGATACAACGTAGTCCGCCTCTCTTTTATTATTGACAAAGAGTGCACGAGACATTGATTTAGTAAACTTACGGATTTACTTCCGCTCATTCGCTCTCTTTCGATTGATTTTCTTCGCCACTATATCTCAACCTTTTATCTAAACGTTTTATCACGCGATAACAGCGGACCAATTTTTCGCCAAGGTGTTACGTTCAGAACACTTCGCCCGCTCTGCTACAGTAATTTCACGAAAGCTTCTATTTGCCATTATGGACACTTTGGTGCACATTTCGCGGCAAAGATCTCCCAGAGAGGCAGTGTCCTTTGACGAACACTAAACTCCTGCTACAACGTATTCCCTGGAGCTTTAATGAAATGTTGCAACGGTGGTCGTATTGTCAAACACGACGCTGGAATTACTGTTAAGTACATTTTGCGTGACTCGGTGGTACTTGATCAAGATTGTGTCGCGCTCAGATCGGATAATAATTTTCCTAATCTTTGTGTATCTATTATATTAAAGAAGAAAAGAGTTGACAAATATAGTTACGCATATAGTAATCGTATAGTAATCGGTTATGACAGGAGCCAATGTGACAGTACAGAGTATAAGTATTTGGAAGAAAGAATTTATTTTAAATTCAGAGAACATTCTTTCGACAAGTAATTTTTGTGTATTTATAATCGATTACTCCATGTACTCATACATACACGTCAGCAGTGACTTTCGCAGAATCAAAATTCTAACGGAGCGTTAAAACTTCATTCGATAAAAAATGTGCAAAGTCAATTTGTAGCTGACTATACAATGTTTAACTTTTTGAATTTACGTTGCTATCGCAAAAAAAAATGATCGCGAATTTCCGCATAAGTCTCCCGTTTCAACGAGTAGTATCAGCTTCGATAAAACTCCACTCCGGACAGCTGTTGTTTTTCAGCAACCACGAAGCGAATATCATGATTAATTCAGTGAAAAATCGTGAGCGCTTATTACAACGGGATCACTTCCGTTCTCCTTTTCCTCACGGAATTTATCATTCCACGTTATACTTGTCGTTGCATAGATTTGGAAAGCAATTTGAGGCAATCTGCTCTCGCACGTCACTCGCGCGCGTGGTACGATAGCAAAGCAATATCCGGTAATTATACTCGTGAATTATATACATACGCAGTATGCCTGTGTGTTCCACTGGGAGTGCTGGTGGTGTTGTACACGATGGAAACAGCGCGTAAAAATTCCCATTTAATTGCAATACGAATTGCGTTTAGTCAAAGCACAGCCATCAATTCGGCGCAGCACTTTATGTAATATAATATGCGCATCCGCCATTTGAAGTAAAAGCGCGATATGCAATCACACTTTTGAATGTCTCGAAAAGAAAGGTCGTTTTTGTTTCATATTTTTATTTATTTCCTATTCCGTAATACCTACGTAAATACATTACGTTCTCCAATATCGCGGATTGCACGGGAAAGAGCGAAACTTATAATATTAATGCAGAATATGTGTGCGCTATTTATAAAATAATTTATAATGCGGCATACTGTTATCCAGATTAGTCGGAGTCCGGATTTGGAGCCAGAGAATACAATGTCGCGTATGCTCTGTCGTTATATGTGATTTTATTATACTCTGTGTGCCACGAAGAATACATAACGACCACCTACTGTCGCAAATGTTACCAGCGACAAACCTGAATTGACGATAATTCAGAGAAATTTCGAGAATTAACTATATTTATTTAAATTTGCAAATATAAGACGCGCAAAGTCGCGTCTCTAGTGATAAAGTCGCAGACTTTCGTTTCAGCGAAGAAAACGTCGATCGGTGAATGAGGTGAGAAGTAGATTGTAAATATCATATAGAGCGTTATATATGTGCATAAATAAGAGGGCTCTTCATCCGAGTGCGAACGCAACGCATGTATAAACGTCGTAATTAAGAGGTATCACTCCCGGGATATTTATCCCATGGTTCACGATATCGGTAATCTGATTATGTACGAAGGTAAGAGGAGTAATATAGTTTCGCGCTGCGTGTTGTGTCGCTGATTAGCGGTGCAGCGCATTACCGTATCGACAATGCGCTAATGGTAAACACGGCGTAAACGGTTCGTCGATCAAACAACACGCCAAAATGTCGGTTGACCGCGATCACCTGCATTTCATACTGTAGCAGGATTTGCGGCTTACAAAAACAATAATTCGTCACGTGCGTTCCACCGGGAGGCGAGAAACAAAAGCAACACGTGCACTTCAGTCAAAAATCCGCCGACGTTTTAATCTGACTAATAAACGCGATACTGGATTTTAGAGTACGGTATGGGCTGTACATGCGAACAGTATTGAATTTGAGTTTAGGATACGGATGTACACGCGCATATGAATACGCCGCGATAATTCCACTTTTTCCACAAACGCAAGCTCTGCGCTGCGACGTTCTAAAGAAACAAGGAAAAAGAAAGAAAGAGAGACCTTGCCATTTGTATAAATTATGTTTCCTATTCCTTTATCTCGTGTCTATCATTTCCTCCGTTTTCTTTCGCAATACGCACACTCTTGCTGGGTTTTCCGTCACCACCTTAGATGACGACAGGCGCAAGCAATCAATTTGATGGGGACGTAAATCGTATCGAACTGTGGCAAGTTCAATAGCAATGTTGACTGTACCGACGACCCAGCGTACTTATGTGTCCGTGGAGATACTCAGTCACTCGCATCTATTCACGGAATATCGGACACGACCTACATACATTGACTGCTATGCGTCTACACGGCATTCGCCGATATAAATGCCGGGACCTTCAACTGACGCATCTCATTGCTTCGTAGCTCGCTATCGTGCATTAATGGTCCACAAGGACGCCGTCGTATCGTGAAACGCGAAATTGCAGGCGATTGAATTACAAGCGATCAAATTTAATTACGACTATTCAAATTTCTCCGCAGTGCTGCATTACGCACGGGAGCCTTCCTTTATATAATTTATCCCCGTATGTGAATTATTAATGCACGCAATTGTATCAAGGGTCGTTGCATCTCGTTAATATTTCGTAAGTGAAATACATATATGCATACACATACACATATGTGTGTATATATATATATATATATGTGCGTGTGTACACAGCTATATATACATATATGTACATATATGTGTGTGTGTGTGTGTGTGTGTAAGCACACACGTGATACGTATAGTCGAACGGGCATATGTATAACATGTAGAATTGGATCGAGTGTACATGCAGTGATAACATCACCGCCTTATCGTCACAAATGGATTACACTACTCAGTCGGGATAACGACCAGATTAATCTCATTGATTGTCCGATTCATTACCCGACGTTAATCGCAATTTGAGATTGACATTACGTGAGGTCATTATACTTGCGTTGGCACGAACTACGCCCCGACATAATACCAGGCGGCCGCCATTAATAAAGTTCACAAACAATCGGCGTGGTCGCGATTAATGAGAGCTGCGCGTTAATTGCGAATGCACCGACATAAATTACATAAAAAATGAGCCGACGGGAATGTAGCAAGTGTGCGAGATTTATTAGATTCGGCGGGGAACTTCATTTGCACCATTGTTGTCACGTGAAATGCCTAATAAAAGTCCGTTAAATAAAGCGTTGCCGCCCAATATTGCCGTGTTTACGTTGCAAACTCGCCAGATTTTTCGCTAACGTTGTATCACATTAAATGAACGAAAATTCTGTCAAGTGAAATTAATTGGTGAAATTGCCGCGGTAAATCAACAAGACGTCTCTGCGAAGTCGCGTTTCTACGGTGCAATTCCCGAATTACTCTCACGCCGTCGCTGTGAATGTTTCAGGGCTGACATAGAATATTCGACGAATTCGTCGAAAACGTATCTGAAGATACCCGACGTCAAGCTGAAGGACGAGGGCCTCTACAAGTGCGAAGCCACGTACATGGCGGTCAACCGCGAGTGCAACAACGTGCAACACATTATCCTCAACGTTACAGGTAAGCTTCGTTGCATTATACAACGTTAACGAATTAATGCATTCTCACGATGAATTCATATTCTAAAATTTATGTTCTCGCGAAACACATAAAAAGCATCGAAAAAAGCATTGCCGTTAAACCTTTTGCCGTTTTGCGCAAAGTATATAAAGATTTCTTTTTTTTCTCACTCTCTCTCTCTTCTTTTTTTGTTTTTTTAATAATTTATAGAAGGTAATATCGCGAAAGATTTATCGAAGCCATTTTGAGAAAACTTTTCGCGCGAACGCCGTAAATTACACGCGCCTAAAAATTATTTTTAGCCGAGCGATCTGTTTGCACCCTCTAGAGGTACGCACCGCATTCATATTTTAAAAGCATGGTTGCAAGAGAGCAGCCTGCATCAACGAAGGAACGACGCACTAGGTACGATGTATACAGCACATTTCATCGTTTCGTATTATACATACGTAAATCTGTTTCCCCACCTTCGTTGCATTTTTACCACGTCGCGTCGTATTTATCATACCATTATTCTGTAACTTGAACGTGGTACTTCTCGAAAGTAGCGCGTTGCGCGACTTGATCTACTTATATCTCTCTAACGTTTCGTATGTGTGCGTGATATATTTATGGTGGCCCGTGCTGCACTCAGGAGGGTGAAAATGGCATGTGCAAATCGGAACATAGCGTATACGTAGCCGGGACTCGCGTTCCATAAATCAGCCAATGTTTATTTCAGACCAACGGTTACACGTGATCGTTCTTGCCAATATTTCAATTTTGCGCGATACGTCTGAACGATAGACAACTCGTTACGGATGACCCTTTTACGAGATTGGCGAGCAACGATGCGTAGTTTACTTCGAAACACTTTTACATCGCGAAAGTAGAGATCTCTTTTACATCTTGCGGTCAATTGCCAAAATTCACTGTACTTGCAATTACAATCTCTCCCGTGCTTTCGTAATTTTCGTTGTTTTTCTCTCGTTATACAGCAATATATCTAAGAGAAGGAGAGAGAGAGAGAGAGAATTTAGAGAATTTATCGCAGAAAAACTGCGAGACTGATATGTCATGGTGTTCCTATTTTGGTAACTCGAGCGATGTTTCTATTATATTCATATAAAAATATCAGAGCTGAACATAGTACGCGCGTGCACAAAATGTTCCATCGACGCGCCTCTCGCGCTTTGAATTCTCAAGATACCGCACCGACTTCCCTCTGGCTAAAGTTCCGCTCGTAGTTTCGAGTGTTTTTCTGCGATTACCCAGGTCAGTCTGTAACACACGAATTCGAGCGTAGAGAGCACACTCCGTCGCGCGCACTAGTTAATTTTCGCGGAAGCTGGGTAACCACGGACGGTGATCTGGGTTAAACCTACTTCAAATTATACATCGATAGCTCGGGTTAGATCGGATAACTCCTAACTTTCCGAAGAGTCAATGCCGACAAGTTGAGCTCAAGTTAGAACCTCGCCGGCCCGGTATCTCACGTAGTCGAGGATACACGAGTTCTCTATGGTGATACTTGACTATTCCATTTAACGTCCCCCGTTAATTTTGTAAACACGTTTTACGCGCGCGCGTCACAGGCCCGTTTAACGGATAAATAGCATAATCACGGCAGGATGTTACTTAACCTGGTTAATGCTTCATCATCAGACTGTGGTGTCGCGGTTTGCCTGAGCTAATTTATCTCACGTTAAATCCATATGCGCGCACGAAATCTTTGAAAGTCAGGGATGCGCCGGAAGGAACCCCGGGAATTACGATGTGCAATTATGAGACATAAAACATTCATTGTGTACAGTGAAAATGTATACCTTTATACTTATGCGATGAGAGTGGAATTTTCCGCGGTAGCTTACTAACCCTTGAATATTAAACGAGACATAAGAAGAGACGATTTACATATTCCCACGTTAAGTGATAATAAATTTACTCCTCATAGAAATAGGAAAAGATTTCATTCGTAACAGCTGCGCCATTATTAAAACCAGTTAAGACAGTGAGAAGAATATAAAAAAGAAGTCGAATATTATTCAAGCCTCTTCTCCCCTCGCGATCGCTGGTGGAGGAAATAAACGATAGGAGGAACATTAGTGGTTTCTAATTATCCTGCGCGGAGTTATAGGTTAATTACGCTATTAAGTAACTCGTAATAAGACCGCCACTGAAATTTTCGATAAGGTAAGGTTGGAAGCCCAAATTCGTCGGAGGAAACGTCTCTTCCACGTCGGGATGAAAACTTTTTGAGGCGAGCCTGTCGTTTAAGCGTTATTGTATTACGCGATATTATCTCTTGGCGACTTATCCCTGCAAGTTTATGAAGAATGAGACTATTCCGGCCGGAACGGTTTATCCGACGGACGTACCGATTTTCCGTGGGTACGCGTACGCGAGACGTCGACGACGAACGTGAATGGAATCACTGTGTGTATATGAAATTTTGCCTGCTGACTGATCTGTCTTCTTCGCCGTCGCGCACCGTGTCTCGTGATATCGCGAGTTAAACGAGTAGGGCGAAGGAGTTTTCAAGTGTCATCGCGACAGTACCTACACGCCCGCGTAAGCGGTGTTCAGGAACTTTCTCAGTCTCATAATGGGGGATCATATTCTTCTTGAAGTTTCAAGCGGGGATTGTCTCGGCAGAAATTAATTTTGAGGTCTAATTAAAAAGATGAAACTCCCCCGGTAATCACTCCCGAAATACTACCAAATTTCTTAGCTGTGGATAAGCCAAAACGGTCGTCGACCTTATCTTCGATCATTGTATTATTTTGTGTTTGTATTGCAAACTGCTATTATTTGCACCTTGAAGGTAATTAAGACAATAGAAATATTATAGAGCTGAATGCGATATTCTTTGGAAACGAGAAGAAAATCTTCTATCGTCTATTCACTTTATCGTTCATTTCAGTAGAAAACGTTTTAAATAGGAACGTTTTTCCGCGAGATCTATGCAGGGGATTCCACAACTTCTATCGTTTTGGTTGCGAAGCCCTCAATTGAAACGCGAAAGGAACACGAAAGAACTTGGGAGAAGTTGCTCTTGACGCATAAGTGATCGCGACCTCAATTTGTCGAACTTAAACCGCTGTCTCGCGAATTTATATATCAGACTGCTCCTCTAGAAGGACGGACGTGTCTTGAATTCTATCACGAAACGTAATATCACCGGTTCTGGCAATTTAGGGCATGCAAAATCACTGCTGCAAGATGAAAGTAGCCGAACATTTTGAAATTTGAGTAAGGAAAAATCTCGAAGATCCTATTTGTTTGCTGTTGTAAACAGTTGTTGCAAGTTAAAACTAACAGTTTTGTTAAAACTAACAGTTTTGTTAATAAAACATTCTATTTCGGTAAAAACTAAATTTCATCTTTGCATCGAGATTTTGTCTGATTTAAAAATCTGATAAATATTTAAATACGAAGATAAGATTAAATAAGAAGATTAGAAAACAGATCCTGTATAAATAACATATTCGTAATTTCTCTTTATTTGCTGAGTTGGATATTATGGTGTCAAGCGGTTTGAGATTGATAATAACTTTAATGAGTGTTTCCAAGTTACATAGCGAAGAAGAGAAATAAAGGGAAAAATAAAATGATAAAAATACGTCGTACCATATTTTCTTGATATTTTTCTCTGGGAATATAATTTCAACATTGTAGCTGACATATACTATATCTTAGATGATATTATGACAACAAAGCGGATACTACTTCAGAAATTAGTGACAACGATAATAAACTTTATATCACATTATTATTGTCTCATGAGATACATCGACAGTTATATATTTCATAATTTTGTAAGTAGAAAAGAAAGCAGAAACACGAGATAAAACGGAGCAGAAACTAATTCGAAATCTTGAGAAATGGTATCATCAAAAAAATACAAAAATGTTGCAATTTTTGGTTCGCATAAATCTGTATCGATCAACAATCGTATTTTGTGAAACTTGAAGATAACGGAAGCGACGCGACAGAGAAAGAGAGAGAGAAATCACAATAAAAGGGCAACGATAGTTTCTCGTTAACGACAAAATGGCGCAAGAAGGTTGGATTTCGTCACAATTGTCTAGAACGATATTTACGAGCGACTAGCGTCAATTTTGATAAAATACGTCGGATATACGTCGCACCCATTACACCGCAGCGAGGTAAAGTGATGACGCAAAAGTAGCTTGCGAGCTCTCCTGCGACAGGCGTCGACATTAATCTACATAGAAGAGCATAGGACGAAGCTGTGCACGAAACGATATCGCGTATCACACCCGTGCCTGCACTTACCTAAACTCGCATACGCGCACACAGTGGCGGATTATCCGAACACCTCGTGCTGGCTAGGACATCACTGTGCAGATTTATCATCAGATAAATAATACTATCGGGAAAATAGGACGCACCAACAGGACCAAGGACGAAGAAAGCTAACGATTTTCAGAGTCGATTATTCTCTGATGGAAGTCAGCGCTACGCTCTATTACAGTCCATCTTAATCACATTACGGACGGGAGATAAAGAAGAATTTCACCATCGTGAAATTTCACGCGGAATGCAAGTGCGCGCGCGCACGAGGACCGCCATCACGCTATTATTATGTTATATAAAAATTACATTAAAAATTACGTTATTAATTTTTACAATCCCGACTAGCGGTGTGAATTTTTAAATTATTCCTTATATCATACCGTTCTCTCTCCCGCGCAGCGGCTCATTTGCTAGATTGCGCCATTACAAACTCGGATAAAGCTCCGTAAAATAGCTGCAGGCACGCCGTAGGATTTTAACACCGCCGGTGCGACACGGATGCGCTTTCATACTGAGATTAGACAGCGGGCCGAGCTACAGTACACGGAGCGCTATTTCTTCTTTCGTTCCGTACGTGCTCCGCTTTGCGGAGTGCTTGCGTCTTCGCTCTGTGAAACTACCGACGATTGCGATACCTCCTTTTAAGTTTCGACGACTAACTCGAGCGTCGCGGATGTACGGGGATTCGTCGTCGGCGAGTG